GAAAAAAGAAGAATCTGCCTTTTCCCTACCATAAAGTTTGTATCCTAGCTATACTTGTATAGATATAAATGAGAGACTAAGAAAAATGGTAAGTAATCAATCACAGCAGAATTAACCACATACAGTATTTCTAATGTAAATGATTACCTGAGAAGTCTGTCAGAAGTCTCGCTAAGACATGCTTGTTTACCAGTTCAGTCTTGCTAAGGTTGGAAATATCTACCCTAGTAGTTTCTTTGATAGTGGGGGGCTTTCTGGAAATCCCAAGATCAGATCCGGTCTTGACATCTGTATGTTCTGGGATGTATGATCTTTGTGGCCAAGACTCTGCAGTGAATGAGAAAGTTGGCTCGAGTACTTCTTCAGAAGGAGATTCCATTTCATGCTGTGCAGAAACATGCTGTGACTTCTCAGCCTGTCTTTCACCTAACTCTTCAAGGGCTTTGATTGTGAGCTGTTCCTGTTCTAAGTCAAAAGATGCTACTGGAGAACCTTGGGTAGGGAACACACTCAGAAGCTCACTTCCATTTGTTTCTTTGCTTTGTTCGTTGTATTTACTTTTGATGTCTTTAATTTCAGAATCACCTGACTCACTTGCATGCAAGATTTCTACAGGAAGAGTTGTTTTAATGTCTGTCCTCTTCCCTGATATTGCTTCAAAGGCGCTTCCTTCACCTTTATCTACTGTTCCTTTCTCTCTGGTTTCTGTAAAGGCTGCTATCAAGTCCTCTGGCGAGGAATCATCCATATCTTTAACATTTTTCCCATGTAATGACTCCAAATAGGCAGAATCCTTCTCATTAAAAACATTTGGAGACGCTATTGAAGAAAGTGTGGGGTTCTCAGTTGCAACAGGCTTTTTGGGAGCAACTTCACTCACGCTATCTGACTGATTTACATCTTCTGACGAGACATTCATATTGGGTACTTGTGAACATGCCACCTCACCAACTGGACTCCTTCCAAGAATATCAGGCTGAACTTGAAGTGGCTCAGAGTCACTAACCAACTCTTCAAAGTTTTCCCTCTTACCATTGGGAATCTCTTTGATTTCTCTTTCATTTGTTTTTACAACCACACTTAGAATGGAAACTGGTTTTTCAGCCTGAATTTTGTTATTTTCAAACAATATATCTGCTGTAATATCCTCTATTACTGTGTCATCAGATTCACCAGAACTATTAGCCTCTGTGATTTCTCCCATTGCAGGGCTCTGCCAGTTCATTTCGTCTTTCGGGTGGTCATCAGGGAAATCTGCTTTCACTGGTGCCATTCCAGAACCCAAAGAAACACATCTCCCAAATGGAGGCCCAGGTAACTCTGAAAGCGTGCCATCAGGTTTCTGCACATTGCCTTGCACACCTTTGATACTGACTTCCTTTGTGGAATTGACATCATCTGGTATAGGTTTTCCAACAATAGCATTTTCTTGCAGAAGAGACGTTTCTGTCCAATCACCTGTTGATTTAGTGATGGGAGTGTTCCCATTAATAGAACATACAGGAATTTTCTGATGAGTGTTAGTTTTAAGACTTACAACTGGAATTTCTGAATTACATTTACTCATGTCAAGTCCTGTAGTTTTTGTGATGTGGTCATAAGATTTATCAGTCTGTTGTTTCACTTGAGGAACCAAATCCCAAGTCAATATTTCATTAGTAAAGTTATGCATATCATTCACACATCTAGACACCTCTTCCAGAGCTGCAGTTGTGTGTGAAAACTGTCTGGTGAACAATGCAGAGATTGGGTAACGCCCTGCCTCTTTATTTCTCAGTGGAAATACTTTGTCATTAGTCTCTGAAATGTCTTCAGATGACTCTCCATCAGTGTGTGCTGACCAGCTACCAAAACCATTTGTGTTCTCCTTATATGAGTCTTTAAATTCTTTGTCAAATGCTGCTTTGTCAATAATTATTTCAAATGGTGATTCAGGGGAATCCTTTTCAATAACACCACCTCCTGAAACTTTGGATGGGGACAAAGAATATGTACAAATGCCTTCTGCCTTAGACAGCTCAGTCGGGGGTTTCTGGGCTGTTAGCAAAGTGAATCTGTCATTAGCATCCAATGCAGTTTTATCCTCTCTACTCGGTACCTCATTTGGGTTCCTGGACTCTTGGTCTTTATTTATTTGCTCTTCTATTTGATCAACTTCCTTTGAAGGAAAAGCAGAATGCTCTGGGAAACTGGCTGGAACGGAAGGATGGTTACAATGAACTCCTGCTGCAAGAGAAACTGTAGAGTTCGCTATGTCACTGCTGGTCCCCTGAGGCTTTTCCATCTTTTTCATATCTGGAAGAGCCAAGTGGTCTTTTCCTTTCTTGGCTAAAAAAGGCTGGCTGTTTAATACTTCGCTTTTTTCTCCATGTAGTGTTGTAAGGTCAGTGTTACGTATTTCGGAAGATGAAAGAAAGGAAGAAGTCATAATTTCTGAAGGTGGCTCATCAGAGCAAAGAGAGCTCAATCCTTCTATGGTCAAAATTTGAAAGAAAAAAATTGTTTACTGGGCACAATTACACATTAGCTAGTCAGGCCAAGCAGCATGCTTTTTATTTTTTAAATTATACAAAGATACACACACACACAGAGGATGTATATATACACACATACATATACATATAAACACATAAATGATCAACAGTTACCCTAACAGGACATGCATAAAATTGCCAATGGTGAAACAAAAAAGGCTTATCATGCTACGAATTGCAAAGGACAAAAAATTTTCACAAACAAATACTTTTCAATCAGTCTACTTTTTCCACTGCAAAGGTAAAGCATAGAGAAGGGTGATGAGATTGGTAAATCTTTTTTCTTCCTTTTTTTTTTTGGTATACCTATTCAACAGAAGCAACATAATCCATACAAAATAAACACTTTGATATTAAGAAGCACTGATACATCTCCATCTGCAAGCTGAACAATTCAGAGCAAACTGCCTCTATAAATCCACTGTTATAGTCTCACAATCTGAGAAGGCAAAAAAGTGGCCAGAGTTTTAAAAAAATTATAATTTCAAAATATTAAGGGGTAGAGCTTTTTTTTTTTTTTTTTTGGAGACAAGGTCTTACTCCGTTGCCTGGACTAGAGTGCAGTGGTGTCATCATAGCTCACTGTAGCCTCGAGCTCCCGAGCTCAAGTGATCCTCCCACCTTAGCCTCCAGTATAGCTGGGCCTACAGGTATGAACAGTCACACCCCACTAATTTTTCTATTTTTAAAATTTTTTGTAGAGATGGGGTCTCACTATATTGTCCAGGCTGGTCTCCAACTCTTGGCCTCAAGTGATCCTCCTGCCTCGGGCTCCCAAAATGCTGGGATTACAGGTGTGAGCCACCATACCCAGCCCAAAATTCCTTTTAAAATAGAAAATATCATTCTCAAAACATTAAGTCTTATTAGTTATTAATACCACAGTAGCCATTCATTTACCACAATGTTCTCTAATTTTCCAATCTAACAAGTTTTTATTGGGGAAAAAGCCCACAACCACCATCCCAAGGGCAAGTGCTCCCTTGCACATTGTTGTATTTCTAGAGCTAGAACAAAGTAGGTCTTAAATAAACAGTTCCAAATAAATGAGTCAAAGATTCAGCTTGGTCAGGTGAGACCTAAGGAGGCTCAGGAAAGGAATACCTTGAGCACAAATGATTAATTGGGAATGTGAAAGAGAAATTCCTTTGGGATTACTCTTAGCTTATGTTCTTTCTTTCATGTAGGAATTTGAATATTAGGTAAAAGCAAAATTATGACTTCATTCAAAATTATTTTATTAAAGATGAAAATAAATCTTAGTATAATAAAATTCCACTATTATAAAAATGTTTTGAAATGCCATATAAAGTTCCCCTATTCAACATATCAATGAAATTTGATGTAATAGGATCTGAGCTTTAGAAATAGTATAATTATAATCTGGGTAGTGGAAAAAAAGTCTTTGTAAATTGAAGAAAAACTGTTAAGGTTTGGGGGTAATACAGTAAACTATATCACTGAAACAAAATAATTGAAGTAAACTATCACTCATATTTAGTTCTAATGTAGTAAACATGGTTTAAACCCATCATTATATATATGGATATTCAGCATAACTGGATTAAGTGTTAAGACAGAAATGAAGCCCAGCACTGTAGGTTAAAAGATTCAAATAACTGAATATTCCACAATCTGAATCATGCATTGTTACTGAATTTACTGGTCAGTGTTTCTACCAGAAAACATTCCATGAACTAAATCTGGATCAGGTAAAATTGTTTGGGAACTTCTCCCTTCAAACAGAAATGGAACTTTGGGGTAAGCAAAACTGACTCCATCCCACACGGAAGGCGAAGCTTGCATGTTTTATAAAGATGGAGATTTCAGATGATTCAGATCTGTCATCTTACGGATGAAAGTCAACAAAATGAATTAGTAGGCCGGGCGCGGTGGCTCACGCCTGTAATCCTAGCACTCTGGGAGGCCAAAGTGGGTGGATTGAGCTCAGGAGTTCAGACCAGCCTGAGCAACAGTGAGAACCCGTCTCTACTAAAAATAGAAAGAAATTATCTGGACAACTAAAAATATGTATAGAAAAAATTAGCCAGGCATGGTGGCGCAGGCCTGTAGTCCCAGCTACTCGGGAGGCTGAGGCAGGCGGATGGCTTGAGCCCAGGAGTTTGAGGTTGCTGTGAGCTAGGCTGATGCCACGGCACTCTAGCCCGGGCAACAGAGTGTCTCAAAAAAAACCAAAACAAACAAACAAAAAAAACAAAACCCAAAACAAACAAACAAAAAAGACCCAAAATGAATTAGTAATAATTCAGCAAATTGGGAGGTGGGGTGAAAAAATAATTTAACAAATACTTACTGAGTGCCTACCATGTGCCAGAAACTGTTTTAGAAACTGAGTTTAAAACAGTAAACAAAAACGGAAAAAAACCTTGCCTTTATGGAGCTTACAATACAGAGGCAGAGACAGATAATAAGCAAAATGATGATGATGTAATGGTGGTGGTGATGGTGCTCAAAGAAATGAAAAAGAAAGTAACCTAAATGAAATGCTCATCAAAGAACGCACACGTCCCTAGGGGAAAAAACGTGGTAAAAATGTCCTATGCTTTGTCAGGACACAAACTGGTCAATTTGCCAACCAAGCCTTGCTTCTCTCATATCTTCCTTGAACTCTCAGCACTCCAAAAGTTACAAGGTAGGTATAGAATAATCTGAGGTAAAACTAGAAGATTAGATCAGAAGTATTATTCTCAGAATACCAACAGGTCCTCTACTGAGTGCTATGACTACCTGACAGACTTCAAATATTTTGTTATAAGTTATTTAATATAACTATTATACTAAGCTTAGAGAGTAAACATAGCTCAATGCTGCATTCATTCCTCAGTGATTGTGAGATGCAGGTGCTAGCTCTGATTATTGTCAATCAAACTTTCCAACTTGTAGAAAAATAAAGCAGCATCCTCACTGTGCTTAATTTTAATTATCTTGCTTAGAATTTCAGCAAACGAAATGATTTTGGCTAGTTGAAACCCTAACTAACTTGGACAGAGCTGAGCTGTACCAAGACAACGGAAAAAATTGGGCTGGAAGTAAAAAGTTTATAAAGGCATGAAAACATTAAATAGAATGAAGATGAGAATCTAATAAGCCTTAAAGAACAGCTCCAATAAGCAAGGACTCTTTCAATTAGTCAGTATGGCACTTAACAGTCATTGGTGTTGTCCAGGTCAGTATCTGGCAAAAAGGCAGAAAACGCCAAGGAGTCTGAGGGTTGTTAATTCTTAAAACACTATAACCTACAAAACTGTCTGGTGGAATAACACTGGATAATTTTATATCTTAGAAAATGTCCACTACCTTTCCTTTTTCAAAGGATTCATCCCTTCACACGCACTCCAAGAGACTTTCAACATTACTCAAAACCAATCTCTATCAAAATTCTGATTATAAACATTTTCTAAATTAGTTATTTGCTATAATAGGATTTAATGTGCATATTCATTTCAGGAATTCTAATCACTTAAAAATATGGGGTTACTCTAATTATTAGCAAATAAGGTTATATATCTAAATTTATTTAAAAGGGAATCAGGCCAGGCACAGTGGCTCACACCTGTAATCCTAGCACTTTGGGAGGCTGAGGCAGGATCACTTGAGGTCAAGAGTTCAAGACTAGCCTAAGCAACATAGTGAGATCCTGTCTCTACAGAAAAAAAAAAAAATTAGTTGGGCTTGGTGGCTCACACCTTTAGTCCCAGCTACTCGGGAGGCTAAAGTAGGAGGATTGTTTGAGGTTCCAGTGAGCTCTGATGTTACTGCAGTCTAGCTCAGGCAACAGAGCAAGACTGTTTCAAATAAATAAAGAGGGAATCAAGATATGGTAAGAGGTGAAAAAATGTCATATCCCCACAATGATGAGCATGTTCTCAAACTTATCAAATACTCAGTTCCATTCTTAACCATTTATCTTCTTAAACTCTAAATACTCAGAAGTTTCCATTTAGGTATATTATCTAAAACAGGACTAGGAATTAAGGTGGCAGTCATATTCTAAATTTCTAGAGGTCTCCCAAACCAAAAATTCCCTATTTAAAGATACAAAGTCCTTTCATGAGCTTACTAATCATGTGGCCTTGGGCAAGTTACTTAATCTCATTTCATCAAAATCTCATCAAAATGTGGATATTAAAGCACCTAACTTTAGAATTGCTATGAGGATTCAACTAAGTTAACACATGTTTAGAATATTATCTGGCACTTAGGAAATCCCCAATAAATGTCCCCAAGCACCACATTCTCAAAAAAATCTCTCTTGACATAGAGACTCCAGATCATACGCTTTTTTATTAGGGGAGAGAAAAAAGGCATACTGTCAAATCATAACTACCTTCCTCTGTAATACAGAAAATCCTGATTGAGAGTTTTAGACACTTTCCCCCCTACCATTCACAAATAAAGGAAAGTAATTTTAAGAGCTTTCATCTATTTCAAAATTTTGGGTGACGCAACTTCTGATTCAGTTGGTACAAACTGTGCCAATAGCATCCCAAGAACTGTGCTAGGTTCTATGCAGATAAAGATGTTTAAGACAGCCCAAAATTCTAAGACAATGTTCAAAGATAAAAGAACTTTTCCTGAACAAAATGTTTCAGTAAATGACCTTCACCACCAGCAAGGTCAAAGTATATTTTAGTTCAATGTACAACTCGGTGAACAATTTAACAACCTAGCACAAAACAATCTTTTACAATCTCTTTCAAACTCAAGAGCAACTACTAGTATTTTATGGGCTTTATCTATCTCTGATTTACTAACTCAGAGTTTCCTAAGGAGGACAGAGGTCAGAAATCTGTATTACAAGTTTCCCAGGTGATGAACCTGGTTTGAGAAACACATTTGATTAGTTTTAGAAGAGTACAAAGATCAAAACCATATTTCAGAGCTCTAGTCCTATAAAAATCCCACAGAAGGAGAATGCCACTTTTCACTGCTCCTCCTCACCACAGATGCGCTTGTCCAGGAGCACAACTCAAGAGGTAGCAGAGGATGGAGCAGGAGATGTCCTTCTCTGCCTGCTTTAAATACTTTTATATGCTAATTCTAAATTAGAGTAACTCTAAATTTTTATTGGAATACGGCAAAAGCTCTATTTGACTAGAGAATCTGGTATAGGAATTGAAGAACTTTCTGTCTTCTATGCCTAGAGTATTTTATGTCACAGAGCAAGATGGGGCGTGAAAAATGACATGATAAAAAAAACTTTTAAGTGAATTCTGTGTACATATCAAGTAAATATATTTGAAAAGGAAAAAACCCTTCATATACTGTTTACTCTATCTTTCGAAATATCTTCTGTTTCTTTTTCCCCAAATTGTCTCTTAGAAAAAGTAAAGATTTAGTACTCATCTATTCAGGTGTTTATAACTTAATTACTAAAACATAATATGGTCTAGAAGCAAGCAAGCAATATTGAATGTTATAACCTATAGCAAAGAGTTCTTTCTAAAAAAAGTGACTAGCTTAGAATAATGTTATAGTTACCATGTGGTTAATTTCCCTCTTCATTTAGGAAATTTTTTTTTAATTAAAAAAATTTTTTTACAGGTCATCTCAGCTTCAGAAGGAAATTCATTACTTTTAATTAAAAGGACACCTATAACATGGAAAAACTATACACATCAGTGAGGAAAGGGTGCCAGCCTGTGGCAGCCACTACATCACTTTTTCACATACACACTATGCATATTCATACAAGGGAGGCTTGAAATATTCAGGCATAGGTTTTCCTACACTTGAATTTTCTCATATTCACAAAACAAGAAGGAAAGACAAATTATCGTGCAAAACAGTATCAGCAATTCTCAGCCACAGCATCAAAATAGGAAGTTAGCCAGCAGACACTTTGCAGCCAAGCTAGATCCTAAACAAAAAGTCTCTTTTGTACAAAGAAAAATGTTTTGCTTTTGTTTTTTTAAAAAAGGCTGTAACTGGCAAATTTTTTTCCTCAATGCTTGCCCCAAAGTTCAGTGTTGTAACTTCCTATTCCAGATGCCTACTGCATTAGTGAAACTGAATGCAAACATTAATTGACACGAATGTGCTTCCAATTCTGCATGGTGAATGGATCCTCTTTCCAATCTCATTTTCATCCAACGTTTTCTAAAGAAAATCAAAGTATTTTCCAGCCTCCACTCTTATCAAAGGTTTCAAAAGTAGAAACCAAATTTTGGTTTGATTTTGATTTTGTGTCTGATGGAGGGAGCATACCCCCCAGATGATACTAAATTGTATCACTGACAGCAATAATATGGCCAAAACAGTAGTTTCTGCCTCTTCTGCTCTCATGATTTTAACGTTAACTTCAAAATGACATGTCTAAAAACCTCTCTAACTCCTAAAATACAGCTGGTTTACTAGCTGGTTATCTTTATCACAGGTGCAGCGGTCACGATCATGACTTCGGAGTCCTCCGTCTGTCACTTACTGCTGTGCTACCTTCAGGAAGTTGTTTCACCATTTTAAACTCCAGTTTAAACTGGTTAAAAAGCTAGTCCCTTTTCTCCATAGAACTGGCTGTGAAGATTAAATAAGATAGTAAAAGCTCAATACAAATTAGCCACATACTACATCTATATTTCTGTCAATATCTTTATATCTTTTATACAACATTAAAATTTACTCCTCTATTTTGGAACTCGCAGGGATAAGGATGAAATTTAACACTGCTTGATGGAAAAAGGAATCCATAAGCAAAAGATTGCAAAGACCTATTAAGGAGCACAACTTATTTAAGGAACTGATTATTCCACTAATGCTCTAATTACAGATCTATTCATATCAAGTTTAACTTCCTAGCTTATGAAGCTGTTGATTATTTCATTGTAATTACAAATCTATACATATAAAAAAGCTAAACTTCCTAGCTTATGTACCTGTATTCTCAAAGTAGTACAATTTAATAAATATCACAAAATTTACTTTAAAAAAATTTAACTGCCCTTTACTCAGTCCAAATTAATGACACTTTTTGTACATGCATCTCTCTGAAACCCAATAGTGATAAATACTACTTCAGGATTAAAAATACGAGTCATTTTTAAATCTAAAAATGTCCCATTTAATGTTACATATAGCTTAATATGGTTTGGGTATATAAAAATAAGGCAGTTTCCCAAGGCTAGATGGCTATAGGATATGAAGCCAAAGAGATTAGCTGGGTTAGTGCCAGTGATGGAGTCAAGCTGCATGCTGTTGGCAGCAGTCATTTTGAAAGGCCTGTGTGGAACGGGGTTATTCCCAGCACCCTTACTCCCCTCCCCTGGGTTTTAATACAGCTAACCAAGTAACCAACAACTTCCTCTTCCCTTATTTTTATTAAGGCAGACTAGAAGCTACCACTCTTGGCTACTCTAGAATACACCTAATCACCTGCCAAGGTGTTCCCTCCAAGTGAACAGGCTGACGTCCACACCTGCCAGTGAAAGAGCTCCACTGGGCAACTTTTCTATCATGTGCTCTTTTTTTTTTTGGCAGGAGAAAATGCTACTAAGAGACGCTAGATTGAAACACTTTCAGGGAAATGGCATTTTTAACTGCCTCTTAAAAATAACATTATTTTGAATCTGCACTGGTCAAAATATTTTTTTTTGTAAGCAAAAAGGAAGAATGACAAATGTATGCTTATTTACAAACTCTAATATGTGCTATGGAACTGAAGCCTACTTAAACATTCATTTTTAATTAGAAAATTCCTTTTTATTTATCTCCATTTTATTTGAGTGTATGTGTAATTTTTGCTAATGGATTAAAATAACTTTCAAAGTTATAACAGTTATCTTTTCAACCTTTCACACATTAGGTGTTTTGGGCATATGTTGTTACATTGTTACACTCTTTAGGATAATCAACTATCCCCTTTCTATATGAAAAGTGTCTTGAAGTTAGAATGTATTTTTAAAAATCTAAAATACCTACAATAGAGGAAATATAATTATTTATTCTATTTATATTTTTCTTCCAGAGTAAATACCTATTTGCACAAATTATCTCATTTAAGAAAACCTGTAAAGGCCGGGCACGGTGGCTCACGCCTGTAATCCTAGCTCTCTGGGAGGCCGAGGCGGGCGGATTGTTTGAGCTCAGGAGTTCGAAACCAGCCTGAGCAATAGCGAGACCCCGTCTCTACTAAAAATACAGAGAAATTAATTGGACAACTAAAAATACATAGAAAAAATTAGCTGGGCATGGTGGTGCATGCCTGTAGTCCCAGCTACTCGGGAGGCTGAGGCAGGAGGATCGCATGAGCCCAGGAGTTTGAGGTTGCTGTGAGCTGGGCTGATGCCACGGCACTCTAGCCTGGGCAACACAGTGAGACTCTGTCCCCCCCAAAAAAAAAAACAAACCCTGTAAAACATAAATCTGGGCTGAGCACGGTGGCTCATGCCTATAATCCCAGGAGGTTGAGGTGAGAGGATCACTAGAGCCCAGGAGTTCAAGACCAACCTGGGCAATATGGCAAGACCCTATTTCTACAAAAACTTTAAAAATTAGCAAGGCCCTGTCTCTATAACTAAATAAAGCCAAGTTTCAAATGTTAAGAACAATTACTTTATATGTTTGAGTTACTTTGTAACATTCACAAAATTTCTGTCTTTTAATGTAAACACATTAGTTTCAAAGGTCATGATTTTATAGTTAAATTCACACAATAAGGCACATTATAAAGAAGGGGAGTTCCAATGTTATCAGTCTGAATTAAAAGTAACAAATTATCTATCACATTTCCTAAGAAGCAGATTAAACCAGGCAAAAATTTTACTACATTCATTCTATCCCATTATGTTTTTATTCTTGTAAGGTCAAAGTCTTTTGGAGCTAGAGAATTCCAGCTAAGACAAACTGTTTGCACAGGGCTTCTTAAACCTATCTAGTGATTTTAATTCCTTTTTCTTTTCTTTTTTAAAATAAAGGTTTTCCATTGAGCTATATTTGGGGTCTAGCACAATAGCACAAATGAAATAGTGCCTTATTATTAATATAAATTGACGAAGCACACAGTGCTCTTTCGGATTTTTTCCAATGCTACCCCCGCAAATCCAATTCCCTTCCCTACTGGTTGACAAGTTTTTAAAAACCAAAACGTAATCTCTAGGACAAGAAGGCTTACTTGCCAAAAAGTCAACTGGCTTGTTCAATGTTCCAAGGCAATCTGGAACCAGCCTAGCTCTTAGAACATAATCTCAGATAAATTCACATTAAAATACTCTAGCTAGGCTGGTATTTTTGTAGTTCAGTGGAAGCACACTTTTACATTGTTTTTCCAAACCCAACAGCTCTCTAAACCAGTCACATAAATGCGAATCAATGTTAAATGCATTCTATAGATGGGGTTGTTTTCTAAGCCACAATTCTATCTGCTCCAAATCCTGTGAGCAAGTTTTTAATTTTTAAGAAATACTCAAAACTACACTTAAAGCTTATGCTCTGTTAAAGAAAGGGTACAGCCAGCCTCATTCTCCTTTATTAACCTTTACAGGAAATCCACTGGAAGCTGCTGAAGAACTGGCTTGTAATTCATTCTTATTTTAAGGGATTTAGGGGCAATAGAAGACTTGTGCTTCATACCCCAGTTACAGCCTCTTTCTCAACATTTTTCTTTTATTAATGCACACAAAAAAATTACAGACTTGCCTTGTGAGGTCGAAAATAGAGATACAGGCTGAGAGGAAGAGGAAGAAACAAAGGAATCTGAAAGAAAATATACAGCATGAGAATTTGACAACCTCGCACAAGAATTTTAACTTTCTTTTTTGGGAGCAGGGGCAAGCGTCATAATTTCATTGGGTTTAGCAAGGGGGAAAACTCCAAATAATTTCCAATTATCATTTTCACTCACCTGGCAGCAAAACTTTATATTCAAGATGCATTTCTAAAAGTTAATCGATTCAATTTTTTTTTTAGTCAAACATTCTCACCTTCAAAGGAAGAAAAGAGGAACCCCTAGTATTTTAAATCAAGCATAACTTCAAGAACAGATGATGCTCCTTTTGCTACTCTGTGTGGAAAAGGGAAAACAAGTATCTGACTACTAATTAATAGGGCTTTTACCTATTTTCAACTGCACTTTGAGGAGTCAGCCACTAATATGAGCATTTAAAAATATCTAATTGGCAAATGTGTGAAGTTGACCCTGAATACTCAATTATACTCCTCTAAAATTGGCAACATATACCAAAATTTCAAATGCACATATCCTCCTCCTGCCCTGCCTCGCACATACTCTTTAACTCAGCAGTTATATTATACCTCTAAGAATTTATCCTGCAGATATATTTACATACACGTACAAAGATATGTGTATGAGGATATTCATAAAAGCACTGGTTACAAATACTAGGAATACTAGTAAATAGAAGACTAATTAAAAAGTTATATCCAGGCCGGGTGCGGTGGCTCACGCCTGTAATCCTAGCACTCTGGGAGGCCGAGGCGGGCGGATTGTTTGAGCTCAGGAGTTCGAGACCAGCCTGAGCAAGAGCGAGACCCCATCTCTACTAAAAAACAGAAAGAAATTATCTGGACAACTAAAAATATATAGAGGAAATTAGCCGGGCATGGTGGCACATGTCTGTAGTTCCAGCTCCTCGGGAGGCTGAGGCAGGAGGATCACTTGAGCCCAGGAGTTTGAGGTTGCTGTGAGCTAGACTGACGCCATGGCACTCACTCTAGCCAGGGCAACAGAGTGAGACTCTGTCTCAAAAAAAAAAAAAAGTTATATCCAGACAATGAAATACTTGCTGCCATGAAAAAGAATGATGTACAGCTATACAGTCATCCCTCAGTATCCTCAGGGGATTGGTCCTACAACTCTTCATATCAAAATGCACAGGTGCTCGTCCCATATATAAAATGGTATAGTATTTGCATATAAGTTATCTATATCCTCTCATATACTTTAAATCATCTCTAGATTACTTATAATACCTGATAATGTAAATGCTATGTTAATAATTGTTATACTATAGTTTTTTTAATTTGTATTTTTTATTGTATTGCTATTCCTAGTTTTTTTAAAAGATATTTTCGATCTGTGGTTGGTTGAATCCACAGGGGCAGAAGCCGAAGATACAGAAGGCAGACTATATATGTACACACAGTCCATATACGTATTGAATTTAAGAAGCAAAGTGCAGAAGTGTATTCAGCGTGCTCCCATATGTTAAACAACAAAGGAACTAGCAAAAGGGATTGCAAAGTCTAGAGTGGGAGGGAGACCGGCTTTTCACTACAATCTCTGGCCCTTAAAAAAAAACAAAACCAAGAATATAAATGACCTTTTCCATAAAAATGCTAAAAAATTAATAGAAATAGCCATGTGAAAAAGAAGCCCTCCAAAAATACCCCTAACTAATACTGAACTTTATACATTAGCTCCCTTTTTTCTTGCAATTATAAAAATGTTTTCACAAATATTGGAAATACACTTAAAACTAGAAGATTGCTTTAGAGGATTGGGCCATAACTATATCTGTAAGTACTAATTTAAGAAAACTATTTAGTAAAAAATATAGAGCACGTTAACATTAAGGCAGAATTTAGTGGCAAAGAGGCAGTAACTGGCTTAGGACTGGAATTTAAAAATTCACTACTTTTTAAATTATCTTAAAATGAAGTTATCACATTTACTTCTACAAATTAAAAACAGTTCTCCTTTCCTTTTTTAAAGGAAGCATGTTTACCTAGCTCTTTAACATTTCCAGATGGGTCCATTTCTATATGCATTTATCGTCAACATTAAATCTCTGCCAACTGATGAATTTAAATCTCAACAAACCTGAAAAACCAAATGCTTTAAGTAAGTCCGATGCCAAAAAAGATCCTATAAATTTGCCAGCTGTTTGCCTTTTCACTCCACCTAACACTCCCTCCTCCTAATGGAAAATTGCAACATGCAAATTTTTATGCGTACCATTTGTTCTGATACACAACACAGATAACAAGCAATAGTTTGCAACAATATTCCATGAGGTTTCTAAGTTACAAAACCACACTGTATTCATACTCCATATTTATGCCACAAGAAACTGAATCCCAGAATGGTGGTGATCTTAATTCTCAAATGTTATTAATGAAATCATTTTAAGTAGCCAGGTTCAGGACCTCCCTGTTTTAGCATTGGTAATACAGTGCCCACAAGTAGCTGAAAAAGAAACATATACCAGTAAAATCGGATGAGTTGTGAGAATGCAGCAGAGGTGGCCACTAGGGTAAATTAAAAATGTTTCAGAAGAGATGGTAAGCTTGGTCTTAATGTTCATCAGGTGAACCAGGAAGGGGAAGGAATTCTGGAGAGAAGGAACAACTGGCCAGATTCCAAATGGCTTTAAATGTCATGCAATGAAATGTGGATTATATCCTTTGTGAAATGAGGAAGCCCTGAAGGTTTTTAGCTGTGAGAGTGACGGTATCATGTGTTTTAGAAAGAACTGGCAGAAGGGTAGAGCATGGACTGAGTTAAAAGCTACTGCATAATCTTGGCAAGAGATGAAGGCTTACACTAAGGCAGTGAGGATGAGAATGAGGGGATAGATTTGACAAGACAGAATAGACAGGTCTTAGAATCATTTGACTAAATGTTGGAGCCCAGAGAAGTAAAAGTCAAAGTCCTATTAATGTAGTAGTTATAAAAGCAGTAGTTCCTTCCAGTATATGTCAAAATGGCGCTCATTACCAAGATGCCCACTCCTGTTACAACACTAAAAAAAGCTGGAAAACTTTCTTTGTACTGTTATTGGAGTAAATGCAATCAAAAAATCAAAATGAAGTATATGCAATCAAAAAGGGCAAACAAGTAGAACTATTGTTGCAAAAGAAATAAAATTAAAAAGTCTGATAGAAACAAAATGGACTATGTAAATAGGAAATTGGTTACATGTGTATATATATACATACATACGTATGTGTGTGTGTGTATATATATATATATTTTTTTAAAAGAGACAAGGGTCTCACTCCATCACCCAGGCTGAAGTGCAGTGGTGTGATCATAGCTCACTACAGCCTCAAACTCCTGGGGTCAAGCGATCTTCCTGCCTCAGCCACCCGAGAAGCTAGAAATATAGGCACACACCACCATGCCCAGGCTCAGCTCTTTTTTTAAATTTATTTTTTATAGAAATAGGCACTTGCTATGTTGCCCAGGGCTGGTCTCAAACTCCTGGCCTCAAGTGATCCTCCCACCTTAGCCGCCCAAAGTACTGGGATTACAGGCTTGAGTCACCACACCCAACCCCTACAAATACCCCAGCCTTTAAAATAGCACTACATTTACTTCTAGGAATGTTTTACCCTTCTCCAAATATGTTCAAGAGATACCAAATCAAAATCTCAGATTTTGTTAGGAATAAGGCTGAAATTAAACTTATTTTAACATGCTTTAAAATCCTGACACATCGGACTAGCCTACCATTGAATCCTTATTGGAAGTGAACCTCTTTCTAATATGCCAGGACATGGCATTCAAATGGTTATGAAAAGATGTTTTTCTGGATTAAAGTCATTAGAAAATACCTAGAGTCCAGAAGAAATAAAAGAAGCTAGCTTTAAACATAAGATATATTTATTACAGATAATAGTTTTGTGGGTTTTTTTTTTCCTTTTTATTTATTTATTTTCTCCTCTCCCACCTCATTTACTGCCGGTTATATGAGGGATAGAGAGGACAAGAATGACTCCAAATTTTCGATTTGGGCAAAAGGAAGGAAAGAACAGAACAGACATTTATTGAGAGGGAGAAGAACAGATTAAAAAGAGAAGATTAGGAATTTAGCTTGAGACACAGTAACTATAAGATGCCATTAGACAAGCAGGCTAAAGGTGAAGATTTGAAAGCCATCAATTTATAAATGGTATTTTTTTTTTTTTTTTGAGACAAAGTCTCACTCTGTTGCCCGGGCTAGAGTGCCATGGCATCATCCTAGCTCACAGCAACCTCAAACTCCTGGGCTCAAGAGATCCTCCTGCCTCAGCCTCCCAGAGTGCTAGGATTACAGATGTGAGCCACCGCGCCCGGCCTATAAATGGTATTTTAAACTACGAGACTGGATGTCATAAAGGAGACCAATGCGTGAAGATAGAGAAAGGTTCTATGAAGTGAGTCCTGGAGCACTCTAATGTTTAGAAGTTGGGAAGATACAATATCACTAATCATTAGGGAAACACAAATTAAAACAATAATGTGATACCACCTTACCCCTGTCAGAATGGCCATTATCAAAAAGTAAAAAAGAAATAGATACCGGTGTGGATGTGGTGAAGACGGAATGGTTATACTCTGTTGGTAGGTAAATTCATACAAACTTGATGGAAAACAGTTTGGAGATTTCTCAAAGAACTAAAAGTAGGTCTACCATTCAATACAGCAATCCCACTACTGGAGATCTATCCAAAGGAAAATAAGTCGTTTTATTAAAAAGACACCTGCATCTGTATGTTTATCACAGCACGATTCAGAACTGCAAAGATAGGGAACCAACCTAAATGCCCACCAATTGATAAGCGGATTAAAAAAATGTGGTACACACACCATGGAATACTACTTAGCCATCAAAAAGAATGAAATAAAGTCTTTTGCAGCAATTGGATGGAACTGGAGGCCATTATTCTAAGTAACCCAGGATCAAAAAACCAAATACTGCATATTCTCACTTGCAAGTGGGAGCTAAGCAATGAGTATGCATAGTCATACA